AAGAGTAGAAGAGAAAGGTAAAGAAGTGTGGAGTGGGACAAGTGGAGAAAGGGTATAGAGTGGTAACAATATATATCTTCTCCTTTCTTAGTCTGATTATCTTTTGATGGCACCAAGAAATGTAGCTTTTGTTCTTGAATTGCTGTTGATGTGTGTAATGGTTGTTTTATATTGATTACTTGTTAGAAATGTCATTAGTCAACTGGTGCGTGTTTAATTTTTTTATATATGAAGACATTTAATCGTAGGTGCAACTGTAGAAATGATTCATAACAACAAATACATTCATAATATGAAAGGAAGACATGATATCAGCATGGAAAATAACAATTTTCCTAATGTTTTTATAAACATTTTTCTTGTTGGACTAATTAGGCTGTTTGAAAACATTTGAATGTGCAAGCTAGAAAATGTTGTGTCTAAAAATCCATTTAGGTGAACAGTTATTCCATTTGTATGTACACATGCTAGGTCTCTTTTTCCTCGTGCATTCTGAAACCATTTTATTTGAGAATTAATTGTCTCACCACAACAATACTGTCTGGAAACATTCAACTAGCCAGCTGTGAAATCCCAACAAAAGTCCTGACTTTTTTGTTTTAAATCTCTTTTAGCTAAGAAGAAGAAACCAAAACTCTTGAACAAGTTTGATAAAACCATTAAAGCTGAACTTGATGCTGCTGAAAAGCTGCGTAAAAAGGTAGCATTTGAATTCTTCTTTCACATATTACAAACAAACAAACATAAAAAGTAACCTGTGAATGTTAGATTGTTTCTGTGCAAGTCCTCTTTTTTTTCCAAACCAAATATTCAGGCTTTACTTCAGGAAAAGCTCCCTTCAGTTCCTTCCCTTGAAGACAGCATGTTCACACTTCACCATGATGGTGATATGTTTTAGGCCATGTCTCAGCATATGCATGTGTGATGCTTGCCAGAGATGGCCTGAGGCCCCTGCAGCTGTGCCTCAAGTCAGTCTATTCACCCAGAAAACATTCGCTGAGCTTGTCTGGTGCACTCAGAATACTGAAGTGACTAAACCCTGACAGTGTCCAGAAAAGACTACTGTTGGAAACCCTGTCACCATCCGGCATGCTGGTCACAGCTGCATTTGGGACATGATGAGATGCCTGCCTGGATCATCTCTAAATACAAGGGTCATCATCTCCACAGTTCTTGAGACTTGTATGTTCTATAAATGCACTGGATCTTCAGGCCCTCAAACTGATGTGTGGAGTTTTTCCCTGTTGTGCAGCACTTGTTTGCTTATAGATACCACCTTTGTGAGAATCTGGTAACAAATCTTTGCTGCAAGAGATAATGCAAAGTTCCTTAATTTCTGTTCTGGAGAGGGCATGTTCCCTATCTGATGCCTTCCTCCTGGAATCACATTGTACATTTTCCCATTAATATTACTGATTTGGGGGGGTGATTGCCTGTCTTGGACAAGACTTGTCTTGGCTCATTCAGAGAAAGCATGTGACCCAGAATACTCTCAGCCAAAGTCATGCCTACACAGTCTCCAAACAAGCTCTCACTTCACAGAGACGTGTAACACTTTTTGCTACAACTGACAGTATTGATGCTAGTTGGATGATTAACTTGAAGAAGGACTTCTTGTCCTTTGTCCAGGCAATCCTGGTGCAAAACAGGAAACCATCTACATGGAACACTTCCAGATGAAAGGGATTGTCCATATGTGGAGTCAAATGAGACCTGGTACCTAAAACTAGATATCTAACCCTGATACCCAAGATTAAATTTGTTACTACAATTGGAAAGTTCGGAGTTCCCCTACAGTCAAGGTCTAGTAGTGCATCACCCTCCAATACAGATGCTCTCCCCTCTAACGGTACTGAAATGTTTTTAAGGGCCTGATCCATGCCTGCCTACAGTGCACAGAACCTACTCTGATTTGAGACTTTTACAACATCCTTCTCAAGTTCATGGACCCACTTTTTGAGCCCCTTTTGGAGTGCTCGATTAACCACCTTTCCTTCAGAATCTCCCTAGGCCAAGAGATACTTCCCTGTGTATCTTGTTCCAGAATGATTGACTGGTAGGGGCCTTATGCAAAATTCTTCTTCCCAGATGTGGTTTGAGTTGCACTTTTCCCATTTGTATGGCTGCAGGGGACAGGACTAGGAGCAATGGTGTCAAATTGCAGCAGGTGAAACTTTAGTTTGGATATTAGGAAGAACATTTAACTATGAGTGTGGTTAAGCACTGGAACAGGCTGTCCAGAAAGACTGTGAAATCTTCATCCTTAGATATTTTAACATGCATATTAGACAAACATTTGACTGGGATTGTTTAGTCAAGATGATCCTGCGTTGAGCAGGGGGTTGGACTAGATGGTCTCCTGAGGTCCCTTCCAACCCTACTTTTCTGATTCTATCATCAACCTTCTTTGTAAAAGCACCTTAAGATCTACAAGTTAAGTGCTATGTAAGAGCTAGGTGTTTATTATGAGTGAACCAATATACCTGTGTTCTTCCTTAAGCCACATTTCATCCATGGAGAAAAGAAATCTTCACACCATAAATGTATCTCATACACTTTGGTCTTACATTAACAGGGCTGAATCTTTCAGGTTGTCCCCACATCTGTTCATGATGCTTGGTAGGTAGCTATTTTAGAGGCCAAGACATTTAATCAAAAATGCTAAGGACTAGACCCAGTTTCACCTTACGCACGTAAATAGTAGTTTACCACCCGTATAAATACCAAACAAATTTTGGCACATATGCACATTTTGCAGTTCTACTTACAATGTTGTAGTCAGCATGTATTCCAGTGATTCTCTGCAAGCCAGTTTTAAGAGTTCTCTGATACCATGGACTTTGAATTGTGAAGGAACTGATTAGGTTTGCAGCCACCCTACCCTTTGTAGCTTTCTCATACGGGGAGATACAGAACACTTGTGCAGTCCCAATGACCAGAGCTATTCAGAATATTCCAAGCATACATGAAACACACTTGCAGGCAGATCTACACTGGAATCTCTATTATGGTCCCTGAAAGAGTTATATGAAGTAAAAATACATATGTGGAAATGAAAATTCTAGCTAGAACCTGCTGTTCCTTATGCTTTTGTTTTTTAGTTCTTTGATCACCCATATCTGACAATATGTAGTCTTTAACTTGTATGTTTTCAGCTAGTCAAAAGAAAATGTGTAAGACAGACAAAGCTATTGTTTTTAACCAAGAGTCTTGTTTTATGTCTAATCAGAATAATAAATTTCCCTGAAACAAGAAAGCAATAAATAATGTGCGAGAGAGAAACCTCTTAGTCAGTAATATGAAATCATGTGTTTCTGTTTTTGTTTTATTTACCTGGGAATATTAATCATGAAACATAATTCATCCCTTAGGATAAATGTTTTCCTACAAGATGCAACAAATATTTTTTACAATTCTTCTTATAGGGAAAAGTTGAAGAAGCACTGAAGGCATTTGAAGCCTTAGTGAACAAGTATCCACAAAGTCCACGAGGAAGATATGGCAAAGCACAGGTACCAGTGAAACAGTTATAAATGTAAAAATAATAATCAGAGTTTATCTAATTATGAATTTCTGTGTGCAAAGTAGTCTGTTTCTGTAGTTATGCATAATGGTCTTGGTTTTGTTTAAATTCAAACCATTTTTTTTCTATCCACTCTCCTAAAAATGAAGGCACTGGAAAATAAGCTTACTTCGTAATAATTTAGTGGCTTGATGTGATGCCTACAAAAAGAAATAATCATTTTATTTTCATAAAGCACAAGAGAATCCCATAGGACTAGGTGTAATAAAAGCCTATTTGAACTCATATTAATCAGGATGAGCAAAATAAAAACATCACAGTAGAAAGGAATTGTGCTGTGCTACAATTAATGAAGCATTTGAATTGCAATCACAAACAGTTTCTCTTGGTTAATAATAATCATTCTAGAACCAAAACACAGCTATCCAAGCAAGTTATGTACAGACACTAGTATGCCATGGATCAAATTCTCTGAGTATAAATGGGTGAAATGTCATTGCGTTTATTGCAGTTAAACCCTTTTATTCCAGAAGATTTGGGTCCTGTGCATAACTGAGCTTCAAAAAATGAACAAATGAACTCCCATGTTCACTAATATAAAGCTATTGTATTTAAAACTTTTAAAATTAATGCAGTATTGATATAAAATAATGAATCTAGATTGATTGACTTGTATATGTTTCTATTGTTGAACTACTTCTGGTGCATGAACAACACCTCCTCCTTGCCCTGCTGTTTAGCTAAACAGGAATGGAACACAGGCCTATAAAAATAGGAGAGATTAGGGGAAACGCTAAAATTTTGAGGTAGAAGACAGGGTAGAGATGCACCTTGTAGAACTGAATCAAAGATGGATAAGCTTTCATGAGGAAATCCTCACTTTATCAGATTTTGAAGATGCATCTAACCTGAGTGAACGTAAAAGGCATATTAAATAAGGCATGCACAATTTAATTCAGTGTTTAAAATGAAATATATATAGTATGGTCCTTTGCATGCGCGCGCGCGCACACACACACACACACACACACACACACACACGATACATATAGCATTCATATATATAAACGTATAATGGATCACGTCATACAAAGTAGAAATGTTTTGCACAAAAGTGAAGTTTTGAAATATCTCCTATTGCAGTCATTCAATGAGTCCATTGTCTTTAATGAAGTCTGATATCACTTGAAAAGTATTATACACATCTAAGTTTGCTTTAATATTTAAGGAGCAAAGTTCTTGGATGCATAGTAGTAAGTCCAATTTTTAGTGGGGTGGGGGGGCAGTTAGTTTTTTTTCAGAAGAAATCCTGGTTTGTTTTTTTCAAACACTACCCACAAAAATTTATAATCTGATATGGTTTAAAAACCAAAGACCAGATATTCAGTTGACATTATTTTGTTGATGTAAGTTGAGCTATGACAATATTGTATTCCAAATCTATAGATAGAGGCGTGTGAAACGGGCTGTATTCGATTTGCATTTGGCCCATATTCGGGACAGTGATTCAATTCATTGATTCGTATCACTGTCACGATTCAATTCAGATGAATCCGAATCTGAAGATTCAATGCTGATTCAGAGCATCAGTGATTTGGCCATAGACATAGCTTTAAATATTTTTTCTACATACCTCGAGGTACCAGGCGCGGCTCGTGAACACTGTGATGGTGGGGTGGATGGAGTGTCCCACAGAAGCGTGGGGACCCCCCTATGTGCTTGGCAGTAAACCTGGAAGTGGACCAGAAGTACTTCAGGTCTGCTGGGGAGTGCGTAGCCCCCGCCCCCCCCCCCAACTCCCTCGGCTCAGCATTTGGCCGTGGGGAGACCCTGGGTTTCCCCCCAGACCCAGGAGGCACCAGTCGCCAAGTCAGGGAGATGCGGGAGGAGGCCCCAGCATGCTCCCTGGTGGACCTGGAAGTGGGCCAGAAGTACTTCTGGTCCACTTCCAGGCCTGCTGCCGAGCACACTGGGCACCCCCCACCATGCTCCAGTGAGATGCTCCATCTGCCCCAGCATTGCAGCATTCGTGAGCCGCCTGGTACCTCGAGGTATGTAGAAAAAACATTTCAAGCTGTGTCTCTGCCCAAATCATTGAATCTTACCAAATCTCTCTGAATCTATTTGGAGGGGTCCAATTCAATTCGGAGAGATTAAAGGGTCTCCTGATTTGATTTAGATTTGGAGATTCGGCCACTGAAGCGGGACTAATCTCCGCCAAATTGAATTAGCAACCGAAGCTTCACACAGCCCTAACAGTTGGGTAGTGTTCTATGAGACTCAACCTTGTGGTTTTAGAATGTCTTTTTGAATACACTCAAGGAATGCAGTATTAAAAAAGTATATTATTCTTAATAGATTCATATGTGTATGTCTTCTCCTGTGTATGCTGACATACATTTTCCAGGGTAATATGAGTAATTATAAACTTCACTACAGTACTCGAGCAACCAACTAATTCCTCTTCCATACTCGCATGGAAATTTTACAGACTGGAAATTTTAAAATTCATCCCATTAATTAGGATTTATAACATTTACTATTTACACACACAACATATTTTTGAAAATTCTGAGAAAGGTGATGATTTCTTACTAGCAGTTTTGTGTCTCCATGCAGTCTGAGGATGACTTGGCTGAGAAGATGAGAAGCAACGAAATACTGCAAAAAGCCATCAGTACCTATGAGGAAGTGGCCAGCCTGTCAAATGCCCCAACTGATCTGATAAAACTGAGTTTGAAACGACAAGCAGACAGGCAGCAATTTCTTGGTAAGACAAATAAGCTTAGGTCTATGTCATAAATATGTAGAACTTCTAGGTGACATTTTCAAATGCTGAAGAAAATTAGGAATTCACTTCTATTGATTTTTCAGTGAGACTTACATTTTTAAATTCCATACATGCATCGTAAAAATCTCACCCTACAATGCTGTTAGTATGCATGTTATAGTACTGGCTACAAATTCATTATCCAAGACTGGGGACATATTGTGCTAGGTGCTGTGCATGAGGACAGTGAAAGAGGGTCCCTGACTCAAAAAACCAAACAAAAACCAAACAAACAAACCAAAACTTTCAAGCAAAGATAGAAGAGAAAAGTGGTGGTGTGTCTGTTTGGCAAAAGAACTGGGGCATCGTGAAATTAATTGATTTACCGGTGGCCATGCAGGAAGTATGCTTTGGTACTAGGAGCTGAACTCAATTCTCCTGAGTCCCAACATAATGCTTCTATCCACAAGATAATTCTTCCTCTCTGGATGTTTTGAAAAGTTTTACTTCTCTAAATAAAATATTCTGCATACATATTTTGAGGTTTCAAAAGGCTAGTTTGAAGTTGTAGATGAACTGTTAAGAGATTGTAACTGTTAACTATATAATATTATCAAACAGAAAATCTCATGTTATTACCCATAAACCTTTTGGCAGTTTTGTTTGATTAATATAATATACCCTATTAGCTTCTTCCAGTGAGTAACTAATTAGTAACATATTTAGCAAGGTATTACCCCATAAGTTGTGCAGTGTTACTTATCTTAGTAATTTGATTTGTTAGACCTTGGGGGGGTTAAAGTAAAATTTTCTACTCATCCAAAAAACTGTACATGCAGGGATGATTAGAGCAGGGGTACTTAACCACTGGCGTATGGTCCAGATCCAGCCCATGGAGCAATGTCCTCCAGCCCATGGGTGGCAACATTAATTGCTGCTCCCCTGCTGCCAAATTTCTGGACCCATGGGAATCCCAAGGCCTAGACATGTGGCCCTGTATAGGGCTGCATGCAGGTGTGTGGAGCCGTTTCCAGGCACATGGGGTCATGTTTGGGTGCACAGTGGTAGCCCAGCAGGGGCTGCATTCAGGTTCACGGCATCCAACCAGCAAACGTTATGTCTGGCCACATGGCACCAGACTGGCACCAAGACCTTTATTGTCTCTGTTACCCACCTCTCCAACCTCTCTGGACCTTCTCCAACTTCTCCACATCCCTTTTTAAATGTGGAGTCCAGAACTTCATTCATTACTCCAGATAAGGCCTAACCAGTGCTAAATAAAGAGGCACTATCACTTCCCATGTCTTGTACCTAATGCTTCTATTGATGCAGCCAAAAGCTGCATTTACCTGTGTGTATCTGCATCACACTGCAGACTTGTATTGAGTCTATGGTCTACCAAGACTCTCAAGTTCTTTTTCATAGTGCTGCCATCCAGCCAGGTGTCACCACTTTCAAATTTGTCTTTTTGATTATTCCTCCTGAGGTGTAGTACATTTGTCCACATTTAACTTCATTCTCTTAGCTGTAACCGAAATGCCCAGTCTGTCAAGATCTTTCTGAATAGTGCTTGCATCCTCCAGTGTGGTCACAATCCTTCCCAGTTTTGCATTGTCTGCAAACTTGCTCAAGAAGCTTTCTATGCTGTCATCCAGCTCACTAATAAATACATTGAGCAGCACTGGGCCCAGGACAGACCCCTGTGGGACTCCACTTGAAACCTTCTGCCATTTTGACATGATCCCATTAATAGATATCCTTTGCTTGCAGGTATTGAGCCATTTATCTATCCACCTAATAGTATTTTTATCTAGTGCACATTTCTCCAGTTTGTTTTGAGAAGGTCGCATGGGACATTGTCAAAAGCTTTGCTGAAGTCCAGATGCCTGTATCCACAGCATTCCCTTCATTCACTCAAGTAGTTACTTTGTCAAAGAAGGAGATCAAGTTAGTTTGAGACGATTTGTGTTTCATAAATCCATGCTGACTGCTTCCTTCTCTAGATGCTTGCAAATGGCCTTCCTTAGAGTGTATGTTCCAGTAACTTCCTAAGTATTGAGGTGAGGCCAATTGGTCTGTAGTTCCCTGGCCTTCCTTTTGGCTTTTCTTTTTTTTTTTTTAGAGGGGCACTAGATTGGCCCTCTCCAGTCCTTTGGTACCTGGCCCGTCTCCTATGACTTCATAAAGGTCATTGCCAAGGGCACCAAGATCTCCTCTGCCAGTTCCTTCAGTACCCTGGCATGAAGCTCACCCGGTCCTGCTGATTTATATTATTTGGACACAACTGACTGTCTCTTTTGTGATCTCCTCAGCTTGCCCCGTTCTTTATCCAGATATTCCTTATTATGTGTCTGGCTGCAACATAATTTTTTTGTGAAATCTGAGGCAAAGTAGCTAGTGAGTAGTCCCACCTTCTTTGCATCTTTGGTTAGAAGTTCCCCTTGGCTTGTTAACAGAGGACCCACAGCTTCCTTGGTCCTTTTGTACTGGCCAGCATACTTATAGAACCTCCTGTTGTTCTTAACCTCCTTTGCCAGATGCAGCTCATTCTTTACCTTTGCCTTCCTGATTGACCCTGCAGGTTCTTGCTGTTTCCTGGTATGCTTCTTTGGTATGCTTCCTTCTCCTATCCATTCTTCCATTGTCTATATGTTCTCTTTATGCATTTGAGATATTTTAGAAGCTTCTTGTGCAGCCACATTGATCCTTTGCCATTCTTCTTTTGAATCCATCATGTCAGGACAGTTTCTTGTTGGGGTTGTGGCCTTTAAAAGTTCCCAGCCCTCCTTGGTGCCTTTATCCTTCAATCTATCTTCCAGTGATACCATGCCTATTAACTCCTTAAGTCATAAGTTGTGCAGTGTTACTTATCTTAGTAATTTGATTTGTTAGACCTTGGGGGGGTTAAAGTAAAATTTTCTACTCATCCAAAAAACTGTACATGCAGGGATGATTAGAGCAGGGGTACTTAACCACTGGCGTATGGTCCAGATCCAGCCCATGGAGCAATGTCCTCCAGCCCATGGGTGGCAACATTAATTGCTGCTCCCCTGCTGCCAAATTTCTGGACCCATGGGAATCCCAAGGCCTAGACATGTGGCCCTGTATAGGGCTGCATGCAGGTGTGTGGAGCCGTTTCCAGGCACATGGGGTCATGTTTGGGTGCACAGTGGTAGCCCAGCAGGGGCTGCATTCAGGTTCACGGCATCCAACCAGCAAACGTTATGTCTGGCCACATGGCACCAGACTGGCACCAAGACCTTTATTGTCTCTGTTACCCACCTCTCCAACCTCTCTGGACCTTCTCCAACTTCTCCACATCCCTTTTTAAATGTGGAGTCCAGAACTTCATTCATTACTCCAGATAAGGCCTAACCAGTGCTAAATAAAGAGGCACTATCACTTCCCATGTCTTGTACCTAATGCTTCTATTGATGCAGCCAAAAGCTGCATTTACCTGTGTGTATCTGCATCACACTGCAGACTTGTATTGAGTCTATGGTCTACCAAGACTCTCAAGTTCTTTTTCATAGTGCTGCCATCCAGCCAGGTGTCACCACTTTCAAATTTGTCTTTTTGATTATTCCTCCTGAGGTGTAGTACATTTGTCCACATTTAACTTCATTCTCTTAGCTGTAACCGAAATGCCCAGTCTGTCAAGATCTTTCTGAATAGTGCTTGCATCCTCCAGTGTGGTCACAATCCTTCCCAGTTTTGCATTGTCTGCAAACTTGCTCAAGAAGCTTTCTATGCTGTCATCCAGCTCACTAATAAATACATTGAGCAGCACTGGGCCCAGGACAGACCCCTGTGGGACTCCACTTGAAACCTTCTGCCATTTTGACATGATCCCATTAATAGATATCCTTTGCTTGCAGGTATTGAGCCATTTATCTATCCACCTAATAGTATTTTTATCTAGTGCACATTTCTCCAGTTTGTTTTGAGAAGGTCGCATGGGACATTGTCAAAAGCTTTGCTGAAGTCCAGATGCCTGTATCCACAGCATTCCCTTCATTCACTCAAGTAGTTACTTTGTCAAAGAAGGAGATCAAGTTAGTTTGAGACGATTTGTGTTTCATAAATCCATGCTGACTGCTTCCTTCTCTAGATGCTTGCAAATGGCCTTCCTTAGAGTGTATGTTCCAGTAACTTCCTAAGTATTGAGGTGAGGCCAATTGGTCTGTAGTTCCCTGGCCTTCCTTTTGGCTTTTCTTTTTTTTTTTTTAGAGGGGCACTAGATTGGCCCTCTCCAGTCCTTTGGTACCTGGCCCGTCTCCTATGACTTCATAAAGGTCATTGCCAAGGGCACCAAGATCTCCTCTGCCAGTTCCTTCAGTACCCTGGCATGAAGCTCACCCGGTCCTGCTGATTTATATTATTTGGACACAACTGACTGTCTCTTTTGTGATCTCCTCAGCTTGCCCCGTTCTTTATCCAGATATTCCTTATTATGTGTCTGGCTGCAACATAATTTTTTTGTGAAATCTGAGGCAAAGTAGCTAGTGAGTAGTCCCACCTTCTTTGCATCTTTGGTTAGAAGTTCCCCTTGGCTTGTTAACAGAGGACCCACAGCTTCCTTGGTCCTTTTGTACTGGCCAGCATACTTATAGAACCTCCTGTTGTTCTTAACCTCCTTTGCCAGATGCAGCTCATTCTTTACCTTTGCCTTCCTGATTGACCCTGCAGGTTCTTGCTGTTTCCTGGTATGCTTCTTTGGTATGCTTCCTTCTCCTATCCATTCTTCCATTGTCTATATGTTCTCTTTATGCATTTGAGATATTTTAGAAGCTTCTTGTGCAGCCACATTGATCCTTTGCCATTCTTCTTTTGAATCCATCATGTCAGGACAGTTTCTTGTTGGGGTTGTGGCCTTTAAAAGTTCCCAGCCCTCCTTGGTGCCTTTATCCTTCAATCTATCTTCCAGTGATACCATGCCTATTAACTCCTTAAGTTGAATGAAATCTGCCTCTCTGAAATCTAGCATCCTAATTTTGCTGACCTTATGCTTTCCCTGTCTCACAATTTGGAATTCTATTGTATCATGATTGCTTACTCCCAAGTTACCCATCACCTTCACATGCTTCACCAATTCTTCCCTGTTAGTCAGGACAAGATCCAAGCTAAATTATCCCCTAGTCATATCCTCCACTTTCTGAAACAGAAAGTTGTTTTTCACACAAGTCAGGAATTGGCTGGGCATTTTATGTTTGGCTGCATTGTTCTTTCAGCAGATGTCCAGAAAATTGCAATTTCTGATCACTACCATCCCATAGCTTTTGGATAGATGTGTCACCTTCTTGAAGATTGCCTCATTCACTTCCTCTTCCTGATTTAGGTGGCCTATAACAAATCCCCACCATTATATTGATGCTGTATCTTTCAACTTTCATCCTCACCCAAATGCATTCTGCTTTTCTGTCTTCTTCCTCCTGAACCAGGGAACAAGTGTATGTGTGTTTGACTTACAAGGCAATACCACCACCTTTTCTCTCAACCCCGTTCTTCCAAAACAGTGTGACTCTCCATGTTGATGTTCTAGTCATAAGAGCTCTACCACCAGGTCTCTGTGATGCCAATCAGATTGTAGTTCTTTTCACAGGCTCCAGCATCCAGCTTATCTTGTCTATTCCCCACCCATGCATAGGATTTATTTTGCGTTTTGACCTACTCACTTCCCTTTTGTTCTACTTTTTGCAGTCCTGTAGTGCTCTTTCCCAGAGTTAAGTGACTTATTTTGAGTCCTTTCCCCTCTGGGCTGTGTGATCTGTTGCTGAAGGGCTTTGATCACTATCCTCTGTGGAACCCAATTTAAATCCCTCCTTACTAGGTTGGCCAGATGATGCCCAAAGATGCTCTTTCCCATTCTCGCCAGATGGATCCCATCTCTTGATAGCAGTCCTCCTCCCAAGAGCATCTGCCCAGTGTTGAAGAAGCTGAGGCCTTCACGTTGACACCACCATCTCGGCCACTTCCAGGATATGGTGGTCTTTGCTTGGATATTATAGCCATCTCTCATATCCCTTCTCAGCCCTCCACCTTCCAAACTGAAAAGCAGTGGAATCGTTGCTTTCAGTGAGAGCCTTCACATATTTAAAGTTAAGAACATGCTTAAATTCTTTGATAAATTGAGGCCTCAATTGGTGTTAAAATGTGTAGCACTTTGAAACCTGAATAGGTAAGGAAACTATAAAATCAGTGTCTTGTTACTCTAATTACTGCAGTACATATAATTCTCCACTAGAGGCTCCCATAATACTGGATGATATGTTTGATATGCAGTTTCCTTAAGGTATTGACTGTAAGACTATACAAATGACAATAATTGAATAAATGTATTCATATATACTAACGTCCATTCTGTGTTCTGCATCAAAAGTGATCATTAATAAAACTAGAGAACTCTTTTAACTTGTATTTTCTCAGAATATGTAATAGATAAGCAGATTGTATTTAGTATTTACAAATTACATTCTCTCATAATTTATTTTTGTTGAATCAAATTAGGTCGCATGAGAGGATCTCTCGTTACTCTGCAAAAATTAGTTGATCTGTTTCCCAATGATACTTCATTAAAGAATGACCTTGGAGTAGGTTACCTCTTGATAGGGGATAACAGCAATGCGAAGAAAGTTTATGAGGAGGTAAGCTTCCATTTCAGTTGGGAAAATGTAATAAGCTCCAATATATTTATTCTGAAGAGTTCTTACTTTTAGCTGCTTTAATTTTTTTTTAAATATATCATATATATTGGTCTTATGGCTAGCATAAATAACATTTTTGCTAGTAAACCATTTCTTTATTTTGTAACTCAAAGATTCCTGTTACCAATGTGCTACTTTTCATAAACTAATAAAGTAAAAGGGATTATGTAACTAGCATAAATTGACCTCCTTTGTCCCATAGTAACCTGCTGTCCCTACATATTTATAATGTAAAATATAAACGTAATGCTCACAGTAATACAGGAAATCCTCAATTTATCCATAGGACAGAATGCAAAAGAGATAAAAAACAAACAAACCATCCTCTGTTCTGTAGGGATCAGGGCTCATGGACAGAGGTGATATCATTTATTAGACCAACAAGATTTTTGCAAAAAAATTTCTTTAATTGCAATCTTTTGGGTACAAACACCCTTCATCAGGCATCAAAGAAAAGTTTGTAAAAGTTCTCCTGGGTAGAAATGAAAGTTCATATTTCATAGGATTTCACAGAGGGGTCAATGGATGGAAAATCCCCCTGGGCTGTTCAAACTCTGGCTTCCCAGTCCTAGTGACAGTTTTCACCATCTTTTAAGCATGGTGATATATGTGATACGAACTATCCAGGGGGATTTGTATCTCCTGTCATCATGCTGAGGCTGTCTACTGGTGAGGAGAGTTTCTGTATCCATTGGATGGATAAACTGCATTGTCAGGAAACCCTCTTATATGGATGGAAATTCACCCAGACTGGTAAGGCAGGCGCCACCATAGCTCAGTCTGCCTGTGGGGCTGTGAAAGCTGAATGAAGAGAGACCATGACTGTTTCCTGACAATGCTGGTGCATTTATTGGACCATTTAAACCTGCAGGTTAATTTAGATTAGCTAGCAGCAGCAGAAGGCTGTTGGTCTGAGCCTGGAAAATGGAGCAGACTGCATGTCTGGGTCGGTATGTGTTCTGGGTCTAGAGGCAAGCCCTGCCCTCAGTGTAATCAGGAGAACTTGTGTCTCCCGGGATCCTCACAGAGAGGAGATTGGGATTAAATTGTATGCCAGGTATAGGGGATGGTTGTAGTTAGAAGGGAGAATTTGCCTCCAACACACAACAGCTCCCAGATACTCCCAGATAGTGTTACTGCAGCTTTGGCAGTTCATAGGATAATAGAAAAGTAGGGAGGAAGAGACCTCATCAGGTCACTTAGTCCAGACCCCTGTACAAGGCAGGATCATTCCTGACTAAACCATCCCATTCAAATGTCTGTCTAATCCAGTAGTTCTCAACCTTTTTAGATGCATGGAATCCATTGGAAAATGCCAGCTTTAGTTTTCTTTTCTTTTTTATGACTACAGAAAAATAATAGAGCAATTCTTTTGTTGCAAAGAACCCAGACAAGCCAAAACAAGTCAGAATGTTTTGACACTGAATTCCTATTTAAAATGTCTGGGTTTATCTTGTGAATCATATGTGCACACCTTACAATGCCCACAGAACTCTTGAAATGATCTCAAGGCACCCCTGATTGAGAATCAGCACCCTGATTGATTATCGCTCAGGAGGGACCTCAGGAGGTCATCAAGTCCAACCCCCTCAAAGCAGAAGCATCCCCACTAGATCATTCCAGCCAGGGCTTTGTTGAGCTGGGCCTTAAAAACCTTAAAGGATGGAGAGTCCACAACCTCTCTGGGTAACCTGTTCTAGTGCTTCACCACCCTTCTAGTGAGAGAGTTTTTCCTAATATCCAACTTACACCTCCCTTGCTGCAACTTGAGACTACTGCTTCTTGTTCTGTCTCTGTTATCACCGAGAACAGTCTAGCTCCATCCCTTTTGGAATCATCCCTCAGGTAGTTAAAGGCTGGTATCAGATCCCCCTTCTCTTCAGTCTTCTCTTCTGCAGACTAAACAAACTCAGTTCTCTCAGTCTCTCCTCAGAAGTTGTGTGCTCAGTCCCCAAATCATTTCTGTTGCCCTCCACTGGACTGTCTGCAACTTGTCCACATCCTTTCCCTAATGGGGGGGCCCCAAACTGGATACAGTACTCGAGATGTGGCCACACCAGTGCTGAATAGAGGGAAATAAAGGCAGTCCTCAGACTTATGACGCAATTGGTTCCTGAAAACTGTGTTAAGTCAAAACGTCATAAGTTTGAACCAATTTTCCAATAAGAACAATGTTAGAAAAGGGGGATTGGTTCCTTTATGATGCTCGACACAGGTGGTAAATCTGTTGTGGGGCAGGGGTATAGGAGGGCAGATCAGTGCCCCGCAATGAAGGAGGGATTGGGGCTGGGGCTCAAGCTAGTGCTGGGACGGGGAGGGAGGGAAGAGGTATGGAGGAGCAGATCAATGCCCCGCAGTGAAGGAGGGATTGGGACTGGGGCTGGGGCAAAAGCTGCCCAGCTGGGGTAGAGGGGCACGGGGAGGGGTTGGGGCAGCTCCCACCACTTCACACTGCCAGCCTGGGAGCGGCTTATGTGGCGGCTCTTACCGCTGCTCCCGCTGCAGATCCAGAAAGGCATAGGGAAGTTGTGCCTCCAGATCTGTGTGGAGTGGACAGGGCTGGGGCTGCTCCGGGCTGTGCTCTGGACAGGCGGTGGAAGGCACTGGAGCAGGGGCTATACCTTCTTGCTGCTTGCCTCGCCAGGGTGGGGTGGGCAGAGCCACTGCACTGCCTCTGGGCAAGCAGTGTGCAGTATCAGGAGTTGCCCCTGTCCCCTGATGCCTCCAAGATGAACAGCAGCTTTGTCCTGTGCCCCCCTGTCCCGCCCTGGCTCAGCAAGCAGCAGCAGGGCATGAGGGGGTGTACCCCCGGCTTGGGGGGCCGTGAGGGGGCTGCAGTCACCTCATAGCCCCCACAGCCTGCCTAGAGTGCAGAAAGGTGCATCCCTGGCCCCGCCCACCTCACCCCAATCCAGGGGCACACCCCCCATGCCCTGCAGCCATTTGCCCAGCTGGGGCAGGGCAAGGGAGCACAGGACAAAGCTGCTGCTTGTCTGGGAGGCACGAGAACGCCAGGGTGGCTCCTGCTGCTGCATGCCACTTCTCTGGAGGCAGCACGGCGGCTCTGCCCTGCCATGGTGGGGTGAGCAGCAGAAGGGCATAGCCCCTGCTCCCAGCACCTTCTGCCACCTGCCCAGAGCACAGCCCAGTGCAGCCCTGGCCCCTCTCACCCCATGCAGATCCGGGGGCACACGCACCCCGCCATGCCCTCCCAGACCGGCGGTGGGAGCAGCAGTGAGAGCCATCAGATAAGTCACTCCCAAATCGATGGCGCGCAGTGGCAGAAGCTGCCCCACCACTTCCCCATGCCTCCCCACCCCGGTTTTTTATCCACCTTACAGTCCATTCATCAAGCCCATACTTTCTTAGCTTGTTTGCAAGAATGCTGTGGGAGATGGTATGAAAACCATGCTAAAGCCAAGGTATATCATGTCCACTGCTTTTCCCGCATCTACAGAGCCAGCCATCTTATTGTAGAAGACAATCAGGTGGGTCAGGCATGATTTGCCCTTGGTGAATCCATGCTGACTGTTCCTGATCAACTTCTTCTCCAAATGCTTAGAAATGGTTTCTTTGAGGAACTGCTCCATGATTTTTCTGGGGACTGAAGTGAGGCTGACAGGTCTGTAGTTCTCTGGATCCTCCTTCTTTCATTCATTAACGATGGGCACTATATTCCCCTTTTTCCAATTGTCTGGGACCTCCTCTGATCACCATGAGTTTTCACAGATAATGGCCAGTAGCTCTGCAGTCACATCAGCCAACTCCCTCAGCACCCTTGGATGCATTGCATCTGGCCCCATGGACTGTACACATTCAGCTTTTCTAAATGATCCCTAACCTGTTCTTTCACCACTGAGGGCTGCTCACCTTCTCCCCAAACTGTGATGCCCAGTGCAGTAGTCTGGGAGCTGACCTTGCCTGTGAAGACCAAGGTAAAAAAGGCATTGAGCACTTCAGCCTTTTCCTCATCATCTGTCACTAGGTTGCCTCCCTCATTCAGTAAGGGGACCTTCCTCTTGTTGCTAACATATTTATAAAAACTCTTGTTGTTACACTTCATGTCCCTTGCTAGGTGCTCCATTTGTGCTTTAGCCTTTCTGATTTCATCACTGCTTGCCCAAGCAACACTCTTATACTCCTCCCTAGTTGTTTGTCCAAGCTTCCACTTTTTGTAAGCTTCCTTTTTGTGTTTGATCTCACTGAAGAGTTCTCTGCTAAGCCAAACTGATCACTCGCCACATTTGTTATTCTTCCTCCACATCAGGACCCCCTAAGAGGCCACTCCAAGGGGGAAAGGAGTCCAGGAGAGCTGGTTGTATTTTAAAGAAACCTTACTGAGGGCTTTGAGCAAATCACTTAGGCCCCATGAACATGTTACACTTGAGGCATGATTAACCAGTTAATCGCACCTTTAAGTGTCACCCAGCCACATGTTCAATTCATTTAATGGTGAGATAAAAAGAGGAATAAGCTAAAAGTTATTCCACAACATATGTATAATAACTTGGTAACTGCTTCCTATCATGCTATTAATTGAATGTGTGGCCAGGGGCCCCTGTAGCTGGGAACCCCGTCAGGTGATTGGAGCTCCCAGCTGTAGGGGGGAGCCCAAGCACCCCTGCAGCTTGGAGACCACAGCTGCTGTGATCTCCCAGCTGTGGGAGTGCTCTGTGCGCTCCTGTGGCTAGGAGACAACTGCTGCTATCTGCCAGCCATGAGGGCTCCACATTCACTCCTACAGCTGGGAGACTAGTGCTGCAATCTCCCAGCCACAGGGGTACACCAGCTCCCAGCCATAGGAGCTTCCTTCTTGCTAGTGCATGGAGAGCCTGGGACCAGGATTTAATGAAACTCTTTGCATTAAGTTTTTACTGGTTGAGGTATCATTGGCTGTTACAAAGGAAACAGAATAATCTAAATGTGTGTCTTAATAGGTAAAGACTTTTCAATTTGTATTTGATAGTTCATCTGCTTATTTTTGATTGAAGCTATCATCATTGTTACATCAGAACTGGATACTGAAAATGAGATATAAGCAGAATTGTTTCATAACAGTTTTTTCTCCCCAAAATTTTCAATAAGGTGATAGCAGCTGTGATAGTCAGATTTTTATTTTAGACTCTTAAATGAAACACATTCTTTTTACTTCAAGGATGGCAAACCTAAATGTTGAATCATAAATCAAAAGACTGTACAGCTATAGTTTAAGATGTGGGAAATATGTCCCGTTTCTTAGCAAGTACTTTATCAGACTCTCCGCTGTACCACAGCTGGAAAGGAATACAAAGAAATAGAAAGGGGTTTAGTTTCTTTCTTTTGTTTGATGTCCATCTTTTGAATCTTTTATTTAGGAAATGAAGTACAGTATGTTGAAAGTAATTCTTCGAGAAGCCAGGAGTACATTTATTTTTCAGAGGTCTACAGATCATTATTTAGCACTATTTAAGAGGCTGTTCATATGCAGAGCAAGTGATCCAAAGGCAAATTTTCTTTCTGTCCCTCTGTGCCACATATTGGTTATTACTTTGAATACCTGAGGTTTATTTCTGAGGTTATTATCTGAAGTGTATTTCTGTACCCATGGTTAGTACTTAATGGGCAGTTTAGCATAACTTGTTGCCAAACATAATTAATATTGCACAGAACGCTATGTTAATGCAATTGGCATTGAATATCTCTACTCTAATTTATGCTGATACTGTTCCTTTGCTTCATGGCAGGGGTCATGTATATAGGTATTGCTTATATGCAGCTAGGTATATTTAACACAAGCTGTTCTGCCTGTGTTAATTAGATGCACTGCTCTTGTAATAAAAACAAATTATAACAAAAGGATTAGGCTTTTAAATCCTTTGGAAGTCATTGTTTGGTCCCATTTGGACTAGTATTTGAGCCTGTATATACCCATCTGGAACAAAATTATCCCTTAGTTTATCACTACTAGCACTTAACAAAAACCAGTATCCAAAATTTGTTTTTTTTTTAAACTGCACAAATTGCATTAGATAAAGTACATTTATACAGTCAAGCAGTCAAGTATCAGTGCGCATATGTTGGAAATGTGATGTCCATATATGTATTCTCTCTAAGTGTGTTTGTTGTTGGGTTGTTTTTTTTTTTCTTCGCTTTTTTTTTTTTTTTTTTTTTAGAAGAACTGGTGTTTGCCAAAATGAACCAAAGGTCACATATGGTGTTGTGTCTCTTTGTTTATTGTTGATATGGCTTATCAGTCACTTAGGATTGAGACACACTGGTCTATAAAACGCTGTAGCCAGATCATGTCATATCAAAGGCAATGCTGTTTTCCTGGCACTAATGGTTATGATGGTGCTCAGGGTGAATTCTAAATCCATAGTTTTACTAGTTATTCTTATCTCTATTTTAGCCAGATTCTGTATTGGCTTATACCTTTGCAATACTTTATTCCAAAATGAATATGAAATACTATCATTCTTCCCTGCTTGGATTTTACACCCAGTCTACACTCATCTTGCATAGGTATATATGGCTATTTGAGGTTTACAATCTCACAAAATCCAGATCAAGGAAAAGGAGAAAGGTACTTGCTCCAAGAACACTTTCAGAGGCTGATCAAGCTCTTGTTTATTTTAAAGGGAGCATTAAGTTAGACAATGACGGGAGAGGGGAAATGGATGCAATATCTATCTATGCATTTTAAGGGTTGTCAATTTTTTCTGTGTTTTTAAAAGCATAAAATAAGTTAACCACAAATCAGCTTAGCAATATGACAGATATATGGTATGACATACACAATTAGAGTAACAGAAATATAAGTCTACGAGGAACTTCAGGAGATTATCTAGTCCATTCCTCTCTCCCCTCACCACCAAGGTAAAAATGGACTAGCAAATATGTCTAACATGGTCTTGAAAACTTCCAATGATTGTTCTGAAGAGTCTCAGAACATAGAGAGTGAAAGTGGTGAAAACAGTTTGAAGGCCTTGGAGTTTAGGCTCATCAGCTTTGCTCACTGACCATTATTCACCTGAAATACTCCAACTATACAGGGCCAAGGGCTTCATTACCTTATCTCTCCCCCATACAGACAGAACCTTTCAAGCACTGTTCTCCAGTGCACCTGCATTTAGCCTACTAGCACCTCACTGTTTTCTTCCCTATAGAAAAAAAAAATTAACTTAAGCTAGAACTCAAGAATTGCTGAAGTTTTAGAGGGTATAGGTTCAGTTTAGCACAGCTTAGTTGCTACTGACACAACCACTGACTAGTATAGAAGCAGGCTAAATCTTGTCAAGCACCACAAGTCTTTCACTACTTGCTCACTACCCTTTGTGCCCAAAAGGAAGAGACAAGTTTCCTAGGAATGCAGTGAGAGAGAATTCATAAAGAGGTTCAGCTTACTGTAATACAAAGGTTCATGGGATGGATTTCTCTTCCAGAAATCTTAATGCCACAAATGACTTAATACACTTAAGGTTGTTGGTTGTAGCCATGTTGGTCTAAGGACATAGGCAGACAAGGTTCTTTGGGTAGGTGTGATATCTTTTATTAGACCAACTAAAACTAAGCTCGTGGTGCTTTATGAGCGCTCGTGGTGCTCGGACCAGGTGCCAGATGATTGGAAGATAGCCAATGTGGTCCCCATCTTTAAGAAAGGGAGGAGGGAGGACCTGGGCAACTATAGGCCCATCAGTCTTACCTCAATCCTGGGAAAACTCTTTGAGAAGATCATCAAGGAGCACATCTGTGATAGGCCAGCATCGGGATGATGCTCAGGGGCAACCAGCACAGTTTCATTAGGGGCAGGTCATGTCAGACCAACCTGATTGCCTTTTACGATCAGGTCACAAAAGCATTGGATGCAGGTGTCGCCGTGGATATAGTCTTTCTGGACTTCAGCAAGGCCTTTGACACTGTCTCCCACCCCATCATCATTAAAAAACTAGGCGACTGTGGCATCAATGCCTACAAGATGGATTGCTAATTGGCTGAAGGGTCATACTCAGAGGGTGGTGGTGGACGGGTCATATTCGACCTGGGGGGAAGTGGGCAGCGGAGTCCCCCAGGGCTCGGTCCTTGGGCCCGCACTGTTCAATTTCTTTATCAGTGATTTGGACGACGGGGTGAAAAGTAACCTGTTCAAATTTGCTGCTGATACCAAAATTTGGGGGTGGGCACGCTAGTAGGGAGGGAAAGACGGCAGAAAGACCTGGATAAGTTGCAAGGGTGGGCTAACAAAAACAGGATGCGTTTCAATACTGACAAGTGCAGGGTGCTGCATTTGGGCAGTAGTAACCAGCAGCACACTTATAAGATGGGAAACTACTGGTCAGGCCACAGCTGTAGTACTGTGTCCAGTTCTGGGCACCCCACTTCAAGAGGGATGTGGACAACATTGAGAGGGTCCAGAGGAGGGCCACCCGCATGATCCGGGGACAGCAGGGCAGACCCTACAATGAGAGGCTACGGGACCTGAACCTGTTCAGCCTTCACAAGAGAAGGCTGAGGGGGGACCTTGTGACCATCTATAAAGTCACTAGGGGGGACCAGAAGGGTTTGGGGAAGACCTTGTTTCCCCTAGCGCCCCCCGGGATAACAAGGAATAATGGCCACTAGTTGTTGGAGATTAGGTTTAGATTAGACATCCGTAGGAACTACTTCACAGTTAGGGCTGCTAGGATCTGGAACCAACTTCCAAGGGAAGTGGTGCTGGCTCCTACCCTGGGGGTCTTTAAGAAGCGGCTCAATGCCTACCTGGCTGGGGTCACTTGAGCCCAGTTTCCCTCCTGCCCAGGCAGGGGGTCGGACTTGAAGATCTACAAGGTCCCTTCCGATCCTACTTCTATGATTCTGTGAAATAGTTGGAAAAATTGTTCTCTGCAGATTTTCAGGCACAAATGCCCTTCAGGCACAGGGAAAGTCTGTTGGTGTTTATGTGCTTTCCTGGATAGGAAATGCATTGTTTTCCTAATTTCCACCTACTTACATTCTCACTGTTTGGCCTCCTATCATACTTTTAGCTTCTTTCATTCCTTGGAGATCTCAGAACAACTGTGGAGTTTCCCTATGCCTGAGAGATCTTTGTGCCAACTACTCAGTTGGTCTAATAAAAGATATCACATCTACTCAAAGAACCTTGTCTGCGTAATGCACTTAAGTGTTTCCTCACAGTGTGTATCTTCACTGAAGTCATGGTGCTTCTCAGCAGGATAAACTAGCTCATACTGAATTTCTTGCTGCTAACTTGGTTATCTGTATGCTACACAGCAGTTACTTCAACTGTAGTGTATATGTGCCCATTGGGTGGCTGTTCTCACTCAAGCTAATGTGAGGCAAGTAACTAGACTATAGAATAACTCTCATTACCTCTACAGTGAAGATTTACTCTGAGACATGACAGGGAGAAAGGAAAAGAGAAAATAATATAATGGAACAGCTAATTAAGGTAACATGCTTATGGTTAAGTTAATTTCTGCAGCTGCTAACCTTTGGTCATAAAGATATATTTGTGACTGTTACTTTATCTGTAAAGTATTGTGGAGAGATACAAAAGGCTGTATGTGGGTTGTTAGAGAATGAAGGATAAAATACAATTTTGTTAAACCACAACATCCTAATACATTGGCTCAATCTGGTTTCCATGTACTGAGCAAACCTATTTTGAAAATAGAGCCATAAATAAAAGTTGCTTGTTTCCCTTAAAATAGGTTCTGATTCTGGCTCCAGATGACGGCTTTGCTAAAGTACATTATGGATTCATCCTCAAGGCAGAAAACAAAATAGCTGAGAGCATTCCATATTTGAAGGTACAGTAATATTTCCATATGTTATATTTTATATTATAAAATTCCCTATTTTATGAGTAGAAAAATATTAGAAGTCGGGGTGCACCAATAGAGAATTTTTGGGCCGCTACTGATGGCTGATTTTTAAGGAGCCATATTGGCCAATACTGATCCAATTCTGATATGCAGCCCTGCAGCATTGAGAGTGGCATCCAGCTGGTAAGTCTGTTGTGGGGGAAAGGACGGTGGGAGAGAAGGGGTGGGGGGCAGATCGAGGCCCCCATGGTGAGGGAAGGAGTGGAGATGTAGCTGGAGTAGGGGCAGGGGCAGGCACTGCTCAGCTGGTGCGGGGCAGGGCACAGGATGAAGCTGGCTCATCTGGGGGGCCATGGGGAGGGAGGCGGGGGGAGGGAGGGGGCAGCTTCTGCCACTGCACGCACCCTAGGAGGGCATGGGGGGCATGTACCCTGGGATTTGTACATGGGGCAGGGTGGGGTGGGCTGCCACTGGAGGCTGGGGCCAGGGCTGCACCAGGCTCTTCCTGGCAGAGGGGCTGGGCTGGGCCTATGCCCCTTCCTTCCCCCCTCACCCTTTCCCTCACAAAAGACTTACTGGACCCGGTTACTCTCCACACTCCCCCAAGCTGTGCCCCTGGCTTCGTGCATGCACGGGGCATTTATCAGCCTCATCAGACAAAAGAAGGCAGTTGTCGAGACTCTCAATTCTCTTCATATCAGTGCCAATCCGATATGGGACCGCTGTATTGGTGCACCTCTAGTTATAAGAAAGGAAAAAAAGTAAAGTAACACAGATCTATCCCTAAATATAGTAATTATAAGTGATGATTATTACCCCAAAATACATTTAAAATTGCAGAGGTCTACTCCCTGTAAACTGAAACAACCTTATACATCAAAGATTAAGTATATTTTCTTGATTACTAATATGATACTCGTGTGAGATGGGCAAATTTCATTGTCTGGTTGTTTTAAGGTGGCCAAATTTCAAGTTGTCCATTTGAATGCTCTTGAATGTTCATGAGAAAATATGATAATATTAACTCCAACTTGTCATTTCTACTAAAATTAGTAAGGGTGGAAATGGGAGAGTTTGAAGAAAATTACGGTTTTTTTAAGTTTTCTTTTTGTCTGAAATGAGTGGTATATTTTGTCAAACAGGTTAACAAAAAAAGTATGCTGCATATATTTACATACTACTATACTTTATAGTGTTTACCTCTTGCATAGAATTAGACGCTTATTTGTAATAATCAAATTGACTCTTAGTTTTTACTGGTCTTTATTTTATTCTTT